GCTCTTGCCTCTCTTTACTCTCTGCTCACTGCTTGCTGCCATGTCCAGGTAAGTTCACTGTCAGCTCTTTGCAACCCACACTAACCCATCTCAGACCCGTCGTGCGCAGGACGTACGGCAAAGCACCCCCGCGCTCCTCATCATCCCTCTTCACCCCCTCATCCCCTCCCTCCCTCGCGTCCCACCCCACCCGCTCATCCTCCCCCCCATCGTCCTACCGCCTCGACAGCCCCCTCGCATCGTCTCCCCCTTCTACCACGACGCGAAAACGCGCTTCCTCACCTCTGTTTTTCTCGGCAGAAGATGAAGATGCAGAGAACGTCGACGCGTCGGGGTCGGACGCGCCGGGGCCTTCGAAGCTCGTTGAGCTGGCACCCGCACCAGCAAAGGGGAAGGGTAAAGCAGTAGCTACAAAGCCAATGGTGGTGAAGAAGGCCGTCCAGTCGTCCCTCAAAGGCTTCTTCGCGCCCATGCCTCAAAAACGGAAAAAGCCTCTTCACCCGAGTACAACGGTCGCGTCTCCGTCATCACCCCCTACCGCAACCTCTCCCACCTCGTCTCTCCCCGCCAAACCGCCCAAGCCCGCGAAGCCCACCTCTCTCACCCAGATGCACCTCACCCACCTCCCTCTGCTGCATACTTGCCCAGACTGCTCCATGTCGTTCATGCGTGGCGGACCAGACGAAACGGTTCACCAAGCGCACCATGCGCGTGTCCTTCGTGGGATTGTGTGGGAGGGGCTGAAGAAGGGGAAGGGTGGCGAGGTGGGGTGGAAGGTTGTGAAGGATAGTGTGACGTTTGGGGAGGGCAAGTGGAAGGCGAAGGGGAGGGTGGTGGTCGTAGATGGGAGCTGGGGTGGGAGCAAGGTGAGTCTCGCGTCAAGACTTTGCCCATCAGGACACGCGACGCAGCTTGGTCACAAAGCTAACCTCTGTTCCCTCACAGCTGGACGAGATCCTCTCCACAGTCGACCGAGTCCTCTCCTCCCCACCTCTCCCTCCCCCCATCCTCGACCGCTGCAAGATCTTCCTCTTCCTCACCGCCTCCCCACCGCCTCCCCCACCCCCCTCCAAGCAAGCCAAGCGACCCCGCGTAGACGTCTCCAAGACATCAGGGCAAGGGAAGGAGCGCGTGGTGAGCGTCGTGGTGGCGCAGGGGATCAAGTGGGCCATGCGGGTGTTGGGTTATGGTGAGAAACTTGGGGAGGGTGCGAGTGGGGAGGGGGGGAAGAGGGTGGTGGAGAGCGGCGGGCTGGGGAGCGTCATGTGCGAGTACGTCCCTCCTTCTCCTTATTATGAAGCGACGCGGATCACGTACTAACAAACCACCCACCACAGCCCCGAACACCTCCCCACCCCCTTAGGCATCCACCGCCTCTACACCGCCCCGCTCTACCGCTCCCACGGGCTCTCTCTCCACCTCCTCGACGCAGCACGCGAACACACCGTGTACGGCTGTTCGTTCGACCCGTCAAAGGGGGAGGCGGCGTTCTCCCAACCGACGGAGAGCGGGAGGGCGGTGATGCAGCGTTGGGGTGGGGGGCAGGTGAGGGTGTTTGTGGATGATGAGAGTCAGCTGTGAGCGCTGGTTGGGGGGTGCGGGGTGAGAGGGGGCAGGATAAGGAGAGAGGTGCACGCAGTCGTGCTGGAAGGATAAACCTTGCTGCTTTATATATGTGTCTATAATGCCATCAAGCTTGCTTCGCCGTTTTCTGTCTTCATGTGCATCCAAACCTGCATAGCCATCCGCTTTGCGTCGCTGGATGAGTCAGACCCACCCCTTGTTGACAAACAAACCATCTCTCTTCCATCCTTTCCCTGGCAGTATTCCTCACGTTGTTCAGCTCATGCATCCCCACGGCTCCCGCCATCACCCCCCCCCCATGATCACAGCTCCAAAACAAGCCCTCCCACGTCCCCCAACTCGTCGCGCAAGCATCCCAACACGTCAAAACACGATCTGAATGCACTCCAGGGGAGCACCCAAAAAAACGCCGGATTTTCACGCGCCCGCACACCAGAACTGTGTCGGTTCTCCTAGGCACGGATATTTGGTTCCGTGAGGGGAAAGGATGGGCCCGATCTCCGATGACGGGCTCAGGCGCACAACTGCCCCCTGCTGCTTCTTCTCTTCTCCGCATCACCAGCACCAAATCGCCTGGGCTTCGGCCTCGCGGAGCTCATCCCTGGCAGCAAGCCACGCGGGGATGATAGCCGTCGGCTGCGAACCATGCTGGGAGGACGGACTTGTTGCCGCGATGGGTGGTGAGTGAGACCACGAGAGCGTGTTGACCGATGGGCGCGGCGTAACGAGGTCGTCGACGATGGAGGCGGGCTGTTGTCCGGCGGTTACCGGCTGGGATATGGCCGTTATCTGCTCGACGAGGAGCGCGGCGTTCGGGTCGGCATTGGCCATGAGAGCGGTGGGGTGACTGGTGGAGGGGGAAGCTCTCGAGGGCCGCGTGGGCGTCCTCGAGCTCCATCATGTCATCATACGGGGGACTGCCCGCGGCCCCCACCTGCCATCGATATCCCCAGTACTGGCCCGAGAGCCGCACTGCTGATCGATCAGATCATGATTCTGTCCCAGCCGGTCGCAAATACGCAGCCCTCCTCCATCGTCGACGGCGGCGTCACCACCGCTCCATCCGCCAGCACGACCTCGGCGGCTTGATCTCGGTCACCACCCTTCGCCGCGACCCATCCCCCCCAGCGTGGCTCGCAGCCCGCAGCTGTCATTCTTGCCTTGCTTCCCACGACGGGCTATGCATCAGTAGTGGGCACGAGGCCTAGGCATGTGAGTGGTGCGGCGGGAAGCGCTGTCGTCGTCGCGAGCGCTACTCACTCCGGAGTCAATGGTAAGGCGTGGCGGTGGAGTGATCGATTCCTTTCGATGCGGCATGTGGTATGCATCTCTAGTCGTCTCCCATCGTTATCGTCCTACCCTCCTTCCTCTGCCTGTATCGGTATACTTACTCCAGGGCCCTTTGGCTGTCCGGGGTGCCCCAGCAGCATATCTAACGGCCGATGATCGACACAGGGTGTGGAGCGTGATTAGGGTGGCAGGGTGCATTTTCAAGACAGCGAACCCATAAGAGCTGACGGGTGTTGCTGGACTGATACGTACCGCTGCTAGACCTATGATGGATTCGACTACGGGCGTCTGAGCCGTCAGTTTACAGGTACCTTCCTCTCCCTCCTATGTGGTATGTGCTCTATACTCGCACCGTCAGGCGCTGCTTCGCTCTCTTGTCCGCTCACGTTTCAACAACTCACACATTACCATGTGACACGCCTCACCCAAGTCACCGACTGGGATACCGAGAGCGAGCAGTTCTCCTTACCCGCTCACGTCTTCGGTCCTAGGCTATTGAAGCTCCCGAAGGCGAGTCATGACACCCGTCTTATCGAGCACACACCCCGTGTTCTCTCTTCTTACTCACAGGGACCCCACTTATCATCCACCCATCCGTTCACGCCTACTGACCCTTGCCGCACTGAACGGGCGAGTCATTGTTCTCAAACGTGGTAGAAGCTGTGAGACACATGTCGGTGTGTGCTTTCTTTGGAGCAAGACTTGTCGATAGTCTGACAAGCGCCACTACAAGGCGGCAGTCAGTCTCCAACCTCTTGCTATTTGTGACACTTAACACACTCTCCCCGTGGGTGCATCGTCTCGCTGTCCACTTTTCGTGCAGGATGGCATGCTAAAGAGCATTGCTGAGAGTCTTATCAACACGTACCCCTGTTCCATTGTGCGACAGAAGGCCCCAAGTTAGAGATGCCATCGCAAGGCGGGAACCAGTATGGTGAAGGCGACTGGTGGCGAGTGTCCACAGCTCTTGACAGAAAGGTACCGCTGACAGTATCGCTATAGACCGTGGCGCCTACTCTATCCTTCCTTGTCGCACCTTCCACGTCTGAGTCATCTCTTCACGCCTCGTCGAATAACTTGTCCACACACCCCACCGACGACTATACTGACGCCACCCCGACCGGAAGTGCCATGCCTCACCTCACACAAGCATTGCTTCAACGAGAGCGAGTAGGCCCTTCACTCAGCCACGCAGCAGTTCCCGGACGACCATGAGCTCTCGAAGGCGATGTATAAGCGTGTTGCAACAGGCTCTTTCCAACAAGAACCACATCCCGTTCTGTAAGATGATACCCCGTGTCAGAGCTGTCGAAAACGTTAGGCGGAATGCAGTCTCGTGGTTAATCGTCACTGTTCGTTTCAACAAAGGAAAAGCTGACAATGCCAAGGACAGTGCCGCCTGCTCTGCTCCGGGTGGTCTCACCTTCCACGCCTGGTCCATCTCTGCAGTTCTCGCCGTTGAGATCGTCCACCGTTTCTACTGACGACACGCCTACCGACAATGGCATGTTCGAGACTGTATCCCACCTCACTGCTGTCGTAGCAACTTTGACAAGGGGCATCATCTCGTACGATGAGACATGGATTCTTGCTGGAACCGACCTACTACAACGCACATTTGACTGCAAGATGAAACATTTCAATCTGTCCTCGCTGGTTTTTCGGCCAGGACCCGGCTCCTCTGCCGCGAAGTCGCCAGTCACCGAGTAGTCTTGAGGCGAACAAGCTCGTAGCAAGGAAGGACGACGGCCGCACGTTACTTTACCCATGTCCGCTGAGCTTGGCGTGGCTCATACAACACTGGGAGAACAGCCTCGTGTAATCGCATCCACCATCTAGCGGAACGAACAAGGGCAGCAGTACGCGCTCCGCCACACACATTATTCTCTTCCTCAACCACCGCGCCGTCAGCTGGGTCCTTTGGGTCGTTCCGGTATCTCAGGTACGATCAGCGGCCAGTTTAAGATTCAAGCGACGGGCTACTGAGCCGAAGGCTGGTTTTCAGTCCAGTCCTGTGGCATCCACGCTCACGCTGTGGTCAGAGTGAGTGCCGACATTACCACCATGATATAACAGCTTATGCATGATCCGACAAGGCCCTTGGAAAATGAGGGCAAAACATGAAATGCCCCGTGGCTGAGTTGGTTACAGCGGTTGACTGTTAAACTGGTCTCATCTCGAGATCACAAGACAATCAGACGGTCGAGAGTTCGAGTCTCTCCGGGGCAGTTTCTTTTTGCTTTTTGCCGTTCCCACCTTGTTGCCGGTGCCATGCCATCGTAGGAGTGCATGGAAGGATGCTTCAGCGTGCGATGCGTGTGCTATGCATATGCTGAACATGGGAGATAATGTGCAGAAACAGAAAGTCAGCGGCATGCCTGCGCTGTGGTCACCGATTTGGAAGACCATGACTTGATGGAGCGAGCGCCAGATCGATTCGTACAACGTGCATTAAGATCTCTGGCAAGAGAGTCGTCAAGATTCTGCCAGATACAGACATGCCTCCTGCACGAGTAGTACTACGTATTCTCGTCCGATGTATGTACCTGTGTGGCAGCCGACGACGCATGCCATTATGGTATGAACTCTGCCTCAGGCGGCGTGGTGGTGGCGAGTGTGAATGACGACGGGACGGCGATCATGGACAACTGGCTCTGGGTGACTGGCACGATCACAACCAAAGGCCATCACGCTGAGCTTCTATATATACTGCTCAGCCGTAAGCACTACCTCATGATCTGCCGAGAGAGCCGAGCGATCACTATCCATATTTATAGTCTTCACGGTCTCCTTGGCACGGCACGTCGTTGTGCTGGTGTGTTGAGCAACGCGCCTGTCTCGAAATTCATTCGACGGGGCGGCTGATGACGGCGCTCGCGAGCGGCGGAGACGGTGGAAGCGTGGAAGGGGCCGACCGGTTTACGGGAGCGGGGCCAGGGGGGACGCTTGAGGGGCAACGCCAACGGAGAGTGCCTTGGAGGTGGCGACGTTTTTACTCCTTTTGGCGGTTGTTTGGGGCACACCGTCGGCGCCGCAAGCGTCCTGCTTGATGGGTGGGCATGCATGGTGGCGAGTACAAGTGCAGCGGCGTCGCTGCATGCCAGTCAAGGTCGTGTGCTGTGCATGTGTCTGGTGCATGGCACGGTGGCGTTAAGCATAAGGAGTTCTAAATCTGACCTCTGAAAAACCTGTAAAAAGCGTAAAAAGCAGGGTCGGTGTTGAGGAACGGGATCAAACTCGGGAACCGGTGGGCGGGGCGGGCAGCGGAGTGAGAGCAGAGGAGCGCTGGATCCATTCCATTTGTATTCAAGTCATCTATACACAGCTTGTCTCTCTATTCTCTCTCTCTACTCCACCCCCCTCCGACCCCCTCCCCCCGACACCTCCTCCACCCATCCTCCCCCGCCACCCTCCCGGCATCCCACAACGGCATCCGCACCCACACTTGACGGGATATATCTCGCGACTCTGCCAGTCTCGATCCAACAGGATAATTATAGCCCAGCGACCACACATCGGAAACCAGCCGACCACAGGCTATAAATATCGTCACCCCATCAACCCATTCCCACCCCTCGCCCCCTCCTCTCCCCTGCCATCGCCTCCGCACCCATCCACAATACACTCTGCGACACTTTTCCTCTCTTACAGATCAACAAACGCGACAAAGAATTGGGTTCACGTGCGGTACCACCCGTTGCCCCTGGGTGGCTCGTTCGTGATATGAACCAAGCAGAAAGCTGGCGGAGACTCGGGATCGGAGATGGCTGGGAGCCAGAGACGATTGAGGCGGGGCCGTCGAGGCTGAGGGGGGAGCCGTTGGAGAGCGACGGCGGCGAGGGCGATGCGAGGAAGAGGCGGAGCGATCCATCCCGAACACGCCGCCGCCGAAGACCACCCCCTACCCCTCCCACATCCTCCCCCCTCCTCGCCCTTCTCCCTCCATTCCTCCTCCCCTTTGTCGGTACAGCATCCGCCGCCCCGGCACCGGCACCCCCGCGGGCCAGAGCGGCATTACCCACACCCCCTCCCATCGCCCCGCGCGAGGCAGCCCGAGACGCGGCACCATTAATCGACAAGCGCGTAAAATACCCCACAACGGTCATCACGCCGTCGATCCTGCCGACCTCGGTCGCATACGTCGACGAGACCAAACTGCCGTATCTGTTGACGCAGCATGAGGATGGAGTGTGGCGGAAGGCTGAGGGCGGATGGTATCTGTACGGACGGAAAGTGGCAGTGAGTCATGCCGATCTGGGCTCGAGCGCGGAGGGCCAGGGGATAATCGCTGACGGCGGTGCATCGCAGACGCCAACGTCCGGACCAATTTTTGCCGACGCAGATGGGAACGGGACAGTGACGGACAGTACGACCAACTCGACGGCGTCGGCCAAGCCGACTTATGCGGTCGAAGAGGCTCTCCCGAACGGGTACGTCGTTGCGGACGGTTCAATCAGGGAATGCTGACTGATTCGTTGTGTTATTGCAGATGGGGTATATCGTCAAACCGGACGAGTATCTACAGGGTGCCTCTGATTGCGGTCGCCAGTGTGATCATGGCCGTGGTCATCGTCGCACTCATCATCATGTTCGTTCCCACCTCCTTTATCCTCTCGGACGACCAGCTGACACATCTCCGCTTTTCTCCACCCAGCTACGTCCTCGGTCGTCGAAAGCGCCACCGAAAACAAAAGCGTGCGAAAGAACGTCTTCGCCGCAAGGCCCTCGCCGCTGCCGGCTTGAACGAGCAGGACATCAACGGCTCAGCCGCGGAGGAGGCGTTCAGGGAGAAGCTCAAGGAGATGGAGGAGAAGCACGCGCAGAAGAAGAAGCGGGATGGACAGATGGGGCTGGCGAAGAGTAAAGTGCGGGGGTGGAATTCGCGGCTGGGGCATCTGAGGAGGAGGAAGGGGAAGGGTGTGGCGAGGAGCCCCGGGACGGAGACGCCGGCGGGGGAGGACGAGGATAAGGATATGGAGGTGGATGGAGTGCAGGATGGCGTGCAGCAGCGGGGGAGAGAGGGAGAGGCGGAGAGGATGCAAGAGGGGGAGCAAGCGGCGGTGCAGGATACGGCATCGAGTGAGGAGCAGTCGGAGACTACGGCAAACGACAACCCCAGCACTGCCGAGTCGTCCACACCGACCATCCCCACAGCCCCGACACCATACTTTCCTCCGGCATACCGCCCCGCGTCTGTCCGCTCCATCCCCACCGGCGCTGGCTCGTCATCTGCCGGCCCGTCCCGCCTCCCTGCATCTACCTTTGCGCCCGAGCCCGACGCCGATGAGCACGACGACCCTAGCGTCTCCGCCCACTCATCCCGAGGTGCCTCATCATCCACCGGCCGGCCTACCGCGATGTCCTCCACCGAGAAGACATCAGCGCCGGGGTACTATCCCGCTCCAGCTACCGAGGACGGCGAGCTCGCGCTGGCCGTGGCATCGCGGAGCGATGGCAAGTCGCGCATGGTAGACCCGCCGCCTGTATCGGACGACGAAGAAGCCGAGCGGGAACGGATCAGGCATATCGCGACGGATGATAAGCGCGTGCTCGAGCGGCTCCGCATGGGGGGCTCAGCGCCGCCTGAGGCTGGCGGAGGTGCCGGAGGCGAGGAAGCGCCAGCGTCAGCGTCGGCGCCGGAGGTGGCGGTGGATGAGCATGGGTTTGAGCGGCTGGAGGTGGTAGAGGAAGAAGTCGGCGAGGCGAGCGCACCGTCAGAGCCTGCGGAGAGCGCGTTCCCGCCTCCGCCGAGGCTTAGCGCTCGTATGGCGCAGTACGAACCTTCCGCGCCTCCGTCCCTCCCGCCATCTATGGACACCCGCCACCTCTTACCCTCCTCCCCGCCTGTGCTCGACGGCGGCGCGTCTGCGCCGTCGGCTCCGCCGTTTGCACTGGACGGAGATGAGGATGATGATGGGGACCTCTATGACGAGGGGCCGGGCAGGTTTGACCGTCGGGTAGAGCTTGAGGCGGCTTTGCCGTCTGCACCGCCCCTTGCTCCTGACGAGGACGATGAACCCACCGGTCACTCGCACGGGTCAGACTCGTCGTCAGCCTCTCCAGACTTATCCAGCGGGACGGCCCCTAGTGCCCCGGAGGAGGGCGCGCATGACGAGGAGGAGGAAGCAGAGGGGGAGCGTTCCCCTACGGCGGTGGACGCACAGAGCAGGAATGGCAGCGCGAGCGGTCCGGGATTGTTCTTGCCGAGATACGAGCCTTAGTTCTATTCTTGGGGGGAGGGGGGAGGCGCAGCGGAGTGTATGTTTTCGTAAATTTGGGCTTAGCTAGGTCGGGCGTTGATTGGAGTAGGGGGGAGTAGGGGGGAGCGAGCATGGGCTGGGGCAGGGGCAGAGGTGGGGCGGCCGACGCGAGAGGGTTACGCCGTATCAAGTATCTGGTCTGTTGTAGTTCTTACTTATCTCTGGCTCGAGTCCGGTCCGGGGACTGATCCATGGATGTTTTGTATGGTTCACGGGATCTGATGAGTAGATCGGCGCGAGATGCCGTTCCGTCTGTGGCGATGATGATGCCTCACGAGTTATCAGGAGCAGAGTTCACGATGCATTGGTATGGAGATAGGTATGGCAGATCCACTCAATCCTTCGGGTGCTTCGCCTCCCAAGCCTTCCACGCCCTCCTGTCGCTCTCAAACTCGAAATCGTACGGCTAATCCACCTTCGTCAGCGACACCCCGAACAGATCATTCAAACACGACGACCCGCACTCACAGCCCTCTGGTCCGGCTTCAACTTCCTCCACATCTCCCCCATCTTCTTCGATTTGTACTGCGCCACCTCCGCCCCGACGATCTCAGGCGGCACCGGCACGCCCCCGCGTGCACGCACCGCATCGCAAAAGTTGAGCCACGCCGAGGTGGGGAACTTGGGCGCGCCGGGCATGTTCTTGAGGTACTTGAGGTGACGCTTCTGGTCGTCGGTGTCGAGCTTGTCGCGCTTATCCTGCGCGACGAGGTCGGGCTGGGTGGCAGCCCAGGCGTCGTACTTCTTTTTGGCTTCGGCACTGGCTACCGTCCACCTCTGCCGGTGGTGTCAGCGATCTGCCCGTGGTGATCTGAGGGGGTGGGGGGGTGGGGGGGGTAGGAAGGGGAGAGTGGGTGTCAGACTTCAACTCACGTCCTTCTCCTCATCGCTGAGCTTATTCCACATCTTCGACGCCTCCGTCGACAGATTCCTCATCATCTGCATCTTATCCTCAATCTCCTCCACCTT